AATGAAGAAGTCGAACCTTCTCCACTGCCCGTGCAAATGCCAGACCTCTCACTGCTGCCCAAACTGTTCACAAGATGGTCGAGCTGGGTCTGGCCAGCCACTCATCAGCCAGTCTCCCTCTCTTGATGTTCCTCCCAGCAAGCACTCCATCCACCTCACCAGCCCTTCCTCTGAAGTTCAGGGTGCCAGAATTTTCATCTGTGTCTGTTTTATTTTGTCTCTTGTATTTTTGATGTCAAGGATCCTTACAGTGTGTTTGCCTAGTCCGCCCGTCTTGCCGGAAGTATGATTTCTTTTTTTTTTTTTTTTTTAAATTCCCGGCTTTTTATTGTGAATTGAGTGAAGCTTCACAGACAAAACCATCAGCTTTACGTTCAACAAACCATACCCTTCGTTTCATCTCCATGATCCCATTCTTCTCCATGGAACAGCATTATCCTGCTTCCACCGTGTGCTTCCTATTTTTATTCCATCCACCCTCTAATCCCTTTTCAACTTTGTCCTTAGGAGGAGGTTGCCCTTTTGATTTTGAAGCATGGATCATTCCACCCTGAGTATACCTGACTAGGCTGTTGTTTCCTCTACGTATCTATCTATTGCTTCACTAAAACTGGGGGATTGAGGGTGAGTTCCTTTCCAGATCTGAAGGCTGCTTGAGGGCCACAGTCTCAGGTGCCTCCTGTCTCCTTCTGACCAGTAAACATGTTTTGTTTTGTTTTGTTTTTTTCCTCAGTAACTTTATTGAAAGATTTGTCACTTAATACTAAAACATAATGGTAATTTTGGTAGGTTACCTCTGCTGACTGAAAATGAACACTGATGCATTCAAATATTGAAATGTATCAGCCATTTGGGAAACCTGAAAATTTATCCGCTAATCATAGTTTGGAGTCCCGGTGTGGCGCTGTGGGTTAATGCACCAGACTGAAAAGCTATTTGAACTACAAGGTCGGTGGTTCAAGCTCACTAGCGGCTCCTCAGAAACCCTATGCAGGCAGCCTGGGTCCAGCAACTCAATAATGGGTCAGAACTGACTTGACGGCACTTCACAACAACAATGACAACCATAGTTTAGAAAATTTAAGATATACTGTGGTTCGTTGGCATATTTTTCTGTGCATATAAATATCTGTGACATGATATCAAAAGTAATCTGAACTGGTTACAACTGCTCTGGATAGTCTCAGGCTACACAATGCATCGAGTAACTCTTTTCACTGCTGTAACGTTGTTGTTGTTAAGGACCCCTGAGTCGGTTCTGACTCAGAGCTACCTGTTTAGGGTTTCCCAGGAGTGGCTGGTGAGTTTAAACTGTCAGCCTTGTGGTTCAACCTGAACTTGTGGTCCAGTGCTTTATACCAAAATGCTACCTCAGCTGCCTCATATTACTAAGTTTCCTACTTACTTTTCTAAGATTTTATTTTGGCACAGTTGTTTTTAAGTGGTGTCCAGTTGGTTGTGACTTTTAGCGACCCTATAGAGGGTTTTCCAGGTGAGGCTAGTGGGTTTGAATCCATGATCTTGTGGTTAGCAGTCCAGTCCCTACCTATAGTGCTACCTCAGGAAACCCATTTTAGCACAGTAGGGGCATTTAGTTTCAGATGTATACTCTGTTCCATTTACAAAAAATTCTAAGTTTGAGGTATTGGCAGTTTTATAAAAACAGTCCTTAATGAAAACTTCTGGAGTATTAAAACTCTAAGCTGAAGTTGCATGAATAGGCTAAGGCAATTTCAATATTTGATGGGACTACATTGAGGTAGTAGATTCTTCATAAAAAATCTTTATATCATGATTACAAATATATACAGTTTTCTAGAAAAACTATTAAAGATAATGAGTATATCAAACTTACCAAGTGTATTATTTTTGCTTTATATAAAAATACCCTGAAATATAAATATAATTACCAGATAGCAATAATATCCACATGTCTGCATTATGTATTTGCATCATGTATGCCAAGAAACCATTTATACTGTCTACAACAATTACCCTTATTATGTCTTCAAAGTATATTTATAAAATATTGGTTTTCTTTAAGCCTCATAATATAATAAGCACATTTAAGATGCCTTAAGTAGGTTACTATTTCAATATCACCTAAACACATTAATTTAATATAGAAATTTAGGTCAATGTTAAAAATAGAGATTCCCAGTTTATCACTCCAGGGTTATCATTGCAGTTTCTCATTTATATCCTTAGCTTTGATTTGTATGTATCACAGGTGGATTTGAACTAAATATAATTCCACTATGGTGGTGATGGTGGTGGTGGTGATGGTGATGGTGGTGGTGATGATGGTGATGGTGGTGGTGGTTGTTGGTGGTGGTTATGTGCCGTGGAGTCAGTTCCAACTCATAGTGAGTCTGAGTAGGGTTTCCGAGGCTATAAATCTTTATAGGAGCAGAAAGCCTCATCTTTCTCCCTAGGAACAGCTGGTAGCATTGCACACTTTTAACCGCTATGCTACCAGAGTTAAGTAGTCAGTTTTCCAAATCTGACAACACCCATGCTAATTGAGTTACGATGTTTTGAAGTTTCATAGTTTAAATCCATTCTAATGGTTTGAGTACCACAGCCCAGGGTTGTAGAGAAAGGCTTCAGAGAAAAGTTTTTTGTTGCTGTAATAATCCGATTAAGGAACTGCTTCAGGAATAGTTGGAAGGTGGGTAATCCTACAGTAACTATGTTTCAGCTGCCTTGCTGTTCACCCAGAAACAATCCATTTGAACTTCTGAACATTTGGTTTGGAACACTTGTTTGATGAATATTCTATTATGCACTTGGAGATGAGTTCTTGCTGGAAGGTCAAATCTCTGCCACTTATTTTGGAATGTTTCTGAAGATGTTCTAGTCTTTCTGTTAATTGTACACACATCTGCGCTTTGAAGCCCCAATGCAATGATAGATAGTGCCAACACAGAGGGCTTTGCTTTAGAACACATGATCCTGCAGTGCACCTAAGGCATGCCTTAAGTTGAGCTTTTAGTCTTTCAAATGGTCAGCTCCCTAGAATGAGTGAATTAAATAGTTGCAGATATGAAAAAGCAGTAGTAGCTGTAACTTTCCAACACATCTTCTCCAATACAACCTTTTCCATTCTCATCAAGTCTTACCTGTTCACTTATACTGGCTTATTTGGATCAAGTCGTTTGCCAGTGAGATGTTCCTCTCTTCTTCTATTGATTTTACAGCCAAGTAGAAGCAGCTGGTAGTGTAACGTAGTGGTTACGAGTTGGGCTGCTAACCTGAGGGTCAGCAATTCGAAACTACCAGCTGTTCCGTGGGAAAAAGATAAGGCTTTCTGCTCCCGTAAAGATTTACAGCCTCGGAAACCCTGTACAGGATCACTATGAGTTGGCACCGACTCCACGGCACATAACAACAAGAAACAGCTCAGTCCAACACATCCAAGGCACTTGCACTGTACCGACATTTTGGACAGAAACCTGTCCAGTAAATTCACAGCTAGAGAAAACGTTTCTGTGTCAAACACAAAGAACTGAGTTCGACTAAGAAGATCTTTTTTTTTTTTTTCAAGTCCCTTAAACTTGCAGTGACTCTGAGGCCATTTTTATGAGCAGATTCACTCAGTCTCAAGCAGAAAACCTTCGGCTGACACCTGGATGCCTGTGTCAACAGGGCAGTCAGCTGGTGTGGCTGTTTCTAAGCGTCAGTCATCAGTACCTTTATCTTTGTGCTGGTGACTGCAGCTCCTCAGTGGTAACTACCTTCCACAGGCCTGCTGCCACTGCCCAAGAGGTGACTGGGGCTCTGGGCACGAGGTGGAGCCATCCTGGCTGGAGGTCTCCACAACGTAGGTCTCCACAACGTAGCTGAGAAGGAAACCACCTTCAGGTCAAGGCTAGCTCTAAGCAGGAGTCTGGCCTTTTTCTTTTTAATTAGACAATTTTGAGTATTGTTCCACATTTTCTCCCACTTTATTAGGGCAGTTGGTAGTAGTAACTAGGCACCATCTAGTTCTTCTCGTTTCAGAGTTGAGAAGGCTGGGAGAATTGATTCCAAGTCTCTTCCAATCTTACCGCTCTTCCTTCTTCCCCACATGAAAGACCAATAACGGAACCTTAGATGACTGCTCATGAGATGTCAAGGGTCCTGCACTCTACTTGTGCTCGTCTCCCTTGATGGTCCTAGGGTCCTCTGGTTCTAGATTGTAAGATTAACTTCTCCCCCATTTTTGTTATAAAACTTCTACCTTTACAATTGTGACAGTTGTAATTAGTCATGAAAACTATTACTCACTATTTTCTCAAAAGAGTCTTATTGCTATCTCTTTTAACCAGACCCATCTAGACAAGATGAAAACTATTCAGTGGGGACTCTTTCTTCCCCCCCCCCCACACACTCTTAAACTCAACTCCTTCTTGAAACCTTGTAAGCCAGTCACCGTGTGCCCTTATCACCCCCTCATTCTACGTAGCCAATGTCTAAGTTGCCCGTCCCTATCTACCCTGTATACAGAGGGGAAAGCGTTGCTACTTGATGTGAAGACTCCTTCCCTCTCTGTTGGTATTTAGACCTACTACCTCCAAGCTCTCTGATCTCAGAGCTGTGGAGTCTATTGGTCATATGTTCCATTAGTCCATTGGACTATTTAATTCCAAGCTTCTTCAATACTTACCACTCTTCATTCTTCCACAAATGGAGAGAACCTTAGGCAACTGTTCATGAACTTTCAAGATCCCAGACACTATCTCTTGGGAGAGATCTGACTTTATCTAGGACACCTAACATAATTTGGTGGTTCTTTGAAAGACAACTAAGGGAAACTAGCCAAGGTTACTGTGAGACTAGCCATAAATTTGACTTAAAGTTTGAGTGTTTAACAATTGGAAGACCCTCATTGTCAGCTGCTTTCCTGTTGTATGATTCAGTAACATGAACCCTTTCTCTTCCTTCATACAAACATATTTCCTGCCTAGCTTTCATACATAGCATTTCTTTCTGTCTGATCACAGTGCCAAGACGGAAGCATGCACTTGGAGAGCAAAGATGACAGGCTGCCCTCTGCCACAGTGCTGGAGATGGAGTCATCCTTGAAGGGTGCTAGCTCACATTCTGGCATGGGGGAACAGGACCAAGCAGGACCACTGGGAGGCGGTCTGGCCAGGTGGAGTGGCTGGGCTGCTGTGGGCCAAGGTTTTGCCTCCTTTAGCATGGAGGGCAGGTGAGTTATAAATCATTTTATATAGTAAGTGTGGAATATATAAATGAGATGGTTTCCCACACTTTGGTGGGAAAAATCTCCAGGAATTTTGTGACAATCTTTCTAGTATTAGGTAACTTTCCTGACTTGTTTTGGATTAAAGATGTTTCTAAAATATGTCTAATGAAATTCCAAAAGTTAATAAAAATAAAAAAGAGATCATTACCATGAAGACTTGGTATTTAGCATATATCTCCATTTCTGTGTCTTGTTGTTGTTAGGTGCCATCGAGTTGATACTGACTCATAGCGACCCTATGCTCAACAGAATGAAACACTGCCTGATCCTGGGCCAACCTCACAATTGTTTCTGTGTCTTAGAGCATATTTTATTTCTTTCTTATTTGATTGAGGTATCAAAAACAGTTGAATATTGTTTTTCATATCAGAAAAGTCTGGAGTAACATACACATTTGGATATACCTGTAAATGCTTACTGATGTAAAAACAACTGAGTTTTGCATATCACTTCTTGCCTCCCAAATTCATAATTTGAAAAGCCTAAGTGTCCATACAAATAAGCAGCAGATCCTGCAAATGTCCCTGCATTTGGACATTGGCTGTTGTACTGACCATTGTCCCCAGGATTGGTGAACCCTGACCAGCAGAGAGCCGCGGGATGCAGGGCTGATTCTCTGTCTCATTTAGGAAAGGAAAGCACCTGTAAACACCTGCAGGCTTCAGACTCTTCCCAGGGGCAAGAGCAATTCACCTCACAAATGGGGGTCTCCCATCTGCCCAGGATCAGACATTCTATGCATGCTTTTATGTCACTGGGTAGCCTAGCCTCCCATTTTGCAAACGGCAAAACTTTGAGTCGTTCTGTTTGTTCATCTTGTTTTGGGGATTTCTTTATATAAATGCATACAGCTCCTGCTCAGTCGTCTAAATTGCTTGACATGACACAACCTTGTTGCGGAAAGTGAAGACAACTCGAAGCATTTGCTGCTGAAGTATGAATTACGACTGACCAAGACAACAAAGAAAACAAACACCTGACAACTGGGCCAATAAACAGCATCATGATAAATGGTCAAGAAGTCAAAGTTGGCAGGATTTTTACTCTTTTGGATCAATAATCAATGCTAATGGAAACAACAGTCAAGAAATCAAATGACAGATTGCATTGGGCACATCTGCTGCAATGAAATGCTGTAGGATAAGCATTGGACTGCTAATTGCAACGTTGGTGGTTCAAACCCACCAGTCACCCCAAGGGGGAAAGATGAGACTGTCTGCTCCCATAAAGATTTCAAGTCTCAGAAACTGTATATATTGCAAGCTTGGCCCAGGACCGGGTAGTATTTTGTTCTGTTATGCATAGGATCACAATGAGCCGGTACTGACTCTATGGCTCCTAAAAACAACAACAACGAGTCAGAATTGACTCGATGGCACTCAGTTTGTTTTTGGTTTAAAGTATTAAAAAGCAAAGATGTCAATTTGATGGTTAATTGTACCTGTGGTTTCATTGCGTGTTGTTCATTGCCTCATATCCATATGAATGTTGGACCATGAAAATGGAAGGCCGAAGATGAATGGACACATTTTAATTGTGGTGGTGACAAAAATCCAATACTAAATTAAACTAAATATAGTGTGGGCTTCCAGAAGAACTAACAAACCTGTCTTGGAGGAAGTACAGCCAGAATATTTGCAGGAGTGATGATGGGGAGACTTTATCTCACTTGCTTTGGATACGTCAGGAGAGACTCTTCACTGAAGAAGACAATCATACTCGGTAAAGTAGATGATCAGCAGAAAAGGAGCCCCTCAACGAGATGGATTAACACAGTAATTGTGTTGATGGTTTCAAATATAGCAATGTCTGTGATGGTGGTACAAGACTGGGCAACAGCTTAATCTTAAAGGTCCTTCTGAATCAGAGCCAAGTCAGGGGGCCTAACAACAACAGCCTCTGCTTGACTACAGAGAAAAAAAATCTCCTGAGAGTAGATTGTGATACGGTGCACCTGCCAGACCACAGCAACAAAGAATGTATTCAGTGGGGCAAATGGTTAGTTAGGTCAGGCATCAAAGTTAGAGCTCTGGTATTATGCTCTCAAGCCTGGGATAGGATACTACAACTGTAGGTGACCAGACTGTCAGGTTGGCAGTTTCCCCCAGGGTTTCCAACAGTTCCAGGGTCATTCTATTTGTTAGGATCCTGGGTGCTTCTTTGTACCAGTAACTGGGCCTGGATTGGCTATGGCGGGGAGAACCAAGGGTACTTCCTGAGGATGGGATGGATAGCACTTCCCCTTTCTACACATGGTGCTGTCACACACAAATGAGGACCACCTGCTGTGCCACCTGTGACCAACATGTTTCAGACAGGCAGAGACATGTGGAGTTTGTGCATGGACTTCAGGTCTTTGCAGCTTTATACTGGTGTAAACCCCTCTCCTCACCTTGACAAGGTAAAGGCTACGTGGTCTAATTTCCTAGTGGTGCCCCAACATAAATACAACTGGGTTGCTTTAAAGAACAAGTGGTGGCTTTCATAGTTCTGGAGGCTAGAAACCTGGATTCAGGGCATGGCTCTAGGGAGAGATTCTTCCCTGTTAGCAGTAGTGGCAGTTCTTTGGCATGTCTTGGCATTCCTTGGTGTATGTCTTCCCTCTCTGTGTGTCGCTATGTTTACATACGTCAAAAATGATTAGATTTGTTTATTTGTCAGGTGCTGGGATGTCAGTTCTGACTCAGAGCAGCCCCGTGTACAACTGAACAAAACGCGGTCTCATCCTGCAACATCTGCACAATAAGAACCTTGTTTGAGCTCATGGTTCAGCCACCATATCAAACCAACTCATCAAGGATCTTCCTCTTTTTCGTTGACCCTCTACTTTACCAAGCATGGTGTCTTTCTCCTGGGACTGGTCCTTCCTGAAAACATGCCCAAAATACATGAGATGTCTTGCCATCTCTCTTCCGAGGAGCATTCGAGTAGTGCTTTTTCCAGTACAGATTTGTTTGTTCTTCTGGCAGTCCTTGAGAGCATTCAATATTCTCCACTAGTCCTGTGATTCAAATGCCTTAATTTTTCTTTGTTTTCCTTATCCATTGTCCAACTTTCACATGCATATGAGACCTTTGAAAATACAATGGTTTGGGTCAGGTTCAATTTAACTCTCAAAATGTGCTTTTGTATATTTTGAAGAGGATATTTGCATCAGATTTCCCCAGTCCAGTACATCATTTGATTTCTTGATGGCTGCATCCTTGAGCATTGAGGATCCAAGTAAAATGAAATCCCTGACAGCTTTAATCTTTTCTGTTTATCAGGATGTTGTTTACTGTTACAGTTGTGAGGATTTTTGTTTTCTTTATGCTGCTATGTGATCCACCTTCAGCAGTAAGTGCTCAAATTTTCTTTACTTACAGCAAGCATATTGCAACTTAATGAATCTTCTTCTAATCCTGATGCTGTATCCTTCCAAAAGTCTAACTTCTCAGATCATTTGCTCAATATGCAGTCTGAATAAGTATGGTGAAAATATACAACCATGGGATGCCCATCTTTCCTGATTTTAAACACTGCAGTGTCCCCTCGTTTTGTCTGAACAACTACCTCCTGTTCTAAATACAGGTTCTAGATGAGGTCAATTAAGTGTTCTGGAATCCCCCTTTCTTTGTAACACTACCCAAAACGTCTTATGATCCACGCAGTCAAATGCCGTTGCTTGGTCAATAAAACACAACTAAATATATTTGTTTAGCGTAGTCGTTACAAATCAGACTGCGAACCTTAAGGTCAGCCGTTCGAAACTACCAGCTGTTCCGCAGGAGAAAGATGAGGCTTTCTGCTCCTATAAAGATTTACAGCATTGGAAACCCTGTACAGGGTTGCTATGGGTCAGAACCGACTCCACGGCACATAAAAACAACAGATATATTTGTGGCATTCTTTGCTTTCAGCCAAGATCCATCTGATATTAGCATCCTTGTTTTATGCTCTATTCTGGATCTGGCTTGAATTTCTGGGAGTACACTGTCAATGTACTATGGTAACTATTTTAAAATGATCTTTAGCAGAATTTTTCTCTCGTGTGATAGTAATGATATTTTTTTGAGAAATCTCACAGTTTTGGAATCATCACAAATATGGATTTCTTCCAATTAGTTGGCCAAGTAACTGTCTTTCAGATTTCTTAGCATAGATATGAGTGTTTCCAGTGTTGCACCCGTTTGTTGAAACATCTCAGTTGGTACTGTGTACATTCTTGTTGTTGTTGTTGTTAAGTGCCTTCGAGTCGTTTCCGACCCATAGCGACCCTGTACAGGGTTTCCGAGGGTGTAAATCCTTACGGGAGTAGAAAGCCTCATCTTTCTCCCGCGGAGCGGCTGGTAGTTTCGAACCGCTGACCTTAAGGTTCGCAGCCCAATTCGTAACCACTACGCTACCAGAGCTCCTTAGAGCCTTGTTTTTTCCAATTCCTTCAGTGCTGCTTGGACTTCTTCCACCAGTACTGTTAGTTCTTACTCATATGGTGCCTCCTGAAATGATTGAATGTGAACACTGTTTGGTAGACTGACTCTGTGTAGTCCTTCCATCTTTTAAAATTTATTAATTTATTTATTTTGAAGTTTTTATTGTGAATTGAGTGAAAGTTCACAGGGCAGATCATCAGTTTTACATTTAACAAATCATATACTTTGTTTCATTACAACGATTATAATCCCCTCCATGTACCATCAGTTAACAGTATTTCTCTCTATTCATTTTAGCTCTCTCTCTCTCTTTTTTTAAACACTCACACTAATGTAATAATTTATACCACCAAAGGGCACATTCTGCAAGTCTGCTTCCTGGCCGCCAGCTCTCAGCCCCTCTCTTTCCATGAATTTAGAGTCCTCAGCTGCTCCCTCTCTCCATGTTTCCTTCTCTGCCTCCATCTCTGGTGTTGATACTTTTCTGGATAGGGTCTCGCATTCCACTTGTGCTCTTCTCCCTTGATGGGC